AATAAATTGTATATTGTTTGAATTAATTGTATATAGTTATTTGTTAGTATATATATGTTCGGTTTGGTACAATACCAAAATGTTATCGTAGCGCAACGGTTGAGCACCTCTCATTAGTCCAGTAGGTCAGCTGTTCGATTCCTGACAGATGCAGTTTTTCCTTCTTATTTTCTAATGAAACGACGTCGTTTCAGAGTTTCAAAACGACGTCGTTTTGACTCAACGGAGAAATCTAACGGAAATTTAACACCGTTAACGTCCGGTTAACGGAAATTTAACGGGATGCCCGAAATGGCCAAGTCAAACTAAACTTCACTATTTTGTCAAAAAGTCAACCTAAACTTTATGATTTAAATGACATTTCGATAGTTCATGCTTTTTCCGTCCCAAATTTGAAAGTTCGCAAATTTTTCGACATTTTTTCCATTAGAAAATTACCTCTTTGGGTAGAGTATTGGATTATCTGTGGGTATCGGGTCGGGTCGGGGATTACCCGTTACCCATTTAGGGTACCCCAAACCCGAAGAAATACACATGTTTATATATGTATATAGATAATTAGATATATAGTCTTATATAGTTATATACTTATATGTATGTCCTAGGTTTTAGGTTTTGTGACTTTTGACATTTGAGTTTATATATGTACATAGATAATTAGATATATAGTCTTATATAGTTATATACTTATATATATGCAATACACATATGTTTATATATGTATATATATAATTAGAATCTACTCTTAACACTTAAGAGTGAAATAGTCATCTTTGTTATTTTGGATTGGATTTAGTATTTAAATGTCATGTTTGATGTTCTATTCTCTTTATTTGATCATTTGAGTATGTAAAGTGATTTTAAATTTCGGGTATTACCCAAACTGACCCGAACCCGATAATACCCGAACCGAACCGGAACCGAAACCATAGGAATACCCGAATGTACCATAAATTCATTACCTATTCAACCCGAACCCGAACGAGTTTTATCCGAACCCGAACGAGTTATCCATATTCCCAGGCCTAATGAAAACTCACGTCAACCCCCAGTTACAATATACTGTCTTGGAAAACTTCCTAAAACTAGTAAATTAAATAAATATTTATAGAAAGAACCGTTCATTAGTTTTAAATTAAAATATTAATTAACATCACAGTAATGCTAATGCCGTTCTTAACTTAATAATTTTTTAAAAATCACAGAGATTCTTAAGTATACTTCCTCTCCTCCACTCGAATATCTTTTTTATTCTCTCCTCTCTCTCTCACATTTATGATTTAACCCAAAAGGCCAAAATCATGAATCGTTACCAAGAAGAACAAAACCCTAATTTTGATTCTTCTCGATTGGTTTATCTTTTATGAAACCTCCGTGGCTGGTCTCAATTTCTCCGGTATGTTTGACCTCTCTATCTTATCTCTTCTGTTCTGTTCTTTGTTTTTTTTTTTTTGTTTGTCCATTTTTGGTTGTTGCTGGTTCCACACGTGTTCTTCGCAGCTTTATTTTTAGTTGTCTTTTTTTATAAAAACAATAAAATTCGCAATTTTTTTTTATTAATCGTAGATTTTCCCGGTTTTTGTGGAGGTGTTTCAGTTCCGTTATTGCAAATTTTCCAGGATTTGGTGTTTGAATAAAATTTTGTTTTCTGGGTTAAGATCTTTTTCTCATATCACGGTAATTTCTATAATCAATTTCGTAGTATGATTCATTGTTTGGTTTGTAATTTCTTATAATTCAGAAGAGATTTGTGTCAGATATTTTATGTATTGATTGTTTCTGGGAAATTTTTGTAGCTCAGAGTTTGTCTGGTGAGGTTGGATCATGGATGTGACAGAGCTTGAGGAGAATTTATTCGCGGCTAGCGATGCTAAGGTTCGGTTATAAATTGAAATGTTTTGATTTCGAATTGTAATTGTTGGAATTATCTGATTAGATCATATGTGTCTTTCTTGAGCTAGGGCTAAATTTGCATCTCTGATTATTGCATTGAATTGTAATTGGGTTATCTTAAAGAACCAATTTTTCAAACGTCTCTGATTTTTGTGTGTTTATGATGTCATTGTCTTGTGCTCTATTGTGCGTTTGCTTAAAAGCTTATGTTTTTTTTTTATGGAAACGCAGTTACATGGAGATATGTGCAAGGAACTATCTGGAGTTCTATGCAAGGTACTCTCAATCTTCCCGTCATTGGAAGGAGCTAGACCGCGTAGTAAATCAGGGATTCAGGCCTTGTGCTCTTTACATATTGCACTTGAGAAGGCAAAGAATATTCTTCAGCACTGTTCTGAATGTAGTAAACTTTACTTGGTGAGTTTTTCTCTTTGTTCCCCTCTCCTTTCTCTCTTTGGACAAGTTTTAGGCATTCTTTTTTGTGTGTTTGCATCTTTAATGTTTTCCAATCTAAACAGGCCATAACGGGGGATGCGGTTCTTTTAAAGTTTGAGAAAGCGAAAATTGCTCTCATCGACGGTCTTAAACGTGTAGAAGACATTGTTCCTAGTTCAATTGGGTCACAGGTAATTTTTACTCTGTTCATTGCACACTGTCTCATTGTGATGATTAAGATTAGTTCATTCGTTGCTTGATAAGTATGATCTTCAGGGTTGATGATATCCCAAAATAAGCCTCATTGGTTTTTGGTTTTTGGCTTGTTGAACTTAGAGATCTGATGGGTACATTTTCTATGAAAATTCCTAGTTGAGAAGTCTGATTTTTGATTTATGATTCTCTTCAGATTTTGGAGATTGTTGGTGAACTAGAGAACACCAGGTTCATGCTTGATCCATCGGAGAAGGAAGTCGGTGATCAGATCATTGCATTGCTCCAACAAGGGAAAAAATTTGACAACTGTAATGACAACACCGAGCTTGAAATTTTCCACCGTGCAGCTACTAGACTCAGTATCACTTCTTCTAGAGTGGCTCTGGCGGAACGAAGGGCTCTAAAGAAACTCATTGACAGGGCACGCGCTGAAGAAGACAAGCGTAAGGAATCAATTGTGGCTTATCTTCTGCATCTTATGAGAAAATGCTCCAAGCTATTCAGAAGTGAGATTTTGGATGAGAATGACTCTCAGGGGTCATATCCATGTTCTCCTACCGTTCAGGGTTTTAATGAAGATCGTGGGAGTGTTCATGGGTTTGGCCGTCAGCTATCGAGGTTTGGTTCTTTAAACGACAAGCCCATGAACAGCATAAATTCAGGACAGATGCCCGTTCCACCCGAAGAATTGAGATGCCCCATATCTTTGCAACTTATGTGTGATCCTGTCATTATTGCTTCAGGGCAGACTTATGAACGGGTCTGTATTGAGAAATGGTTTAGTGATGGGCACAATACTTGCCCAAAGACTCAACAACAGCTCCCACATCTCTCCTTGACTCCCAATAACTGTGTTAAAGGTCTTATTGCGAGCTGGTGTGAACAGAATGGAACTCAAATCCCTAGTGGGCCGCCAGAATCTCAAGACCTCGACTACTGGAGACTAGCTCTCTCTGACTCCGAGTCCACCAAATCACAGTCAGTCAACAGTATAGGGTCGTGTAAATTGAAGGGCATCAAAATTGTTCCGTTGGAGGAGAATGGTACTACTGTTGTCGAGCGACAAAACACAGAAGAAAGTTTTGTGTCTGATGATGATGATGATGAGGATTCTGATTTACATGTACTTGAGAGGTATCAAGATTTATTGACTATCTTAAATGAAGAGGAGGATTTAGAGAAAAAAGGCAAGGTTGTAGAAAAGATCAGGCTATTGCTGAAGGATGATGAAGAGGCCAGGATCTTCATGGGAGCCAACGGGTTTGTCGAAGCCTTGTTGCGGTTCTTAGGATCAGCTGTGGATGAGAACAATGCGTCAGCTCAGGATAGTGGAGCTATGGCTCTGTTCAATTTAGCCGTCAACAACAACAGGTTCGTACCTCTTGTTGATGCTGGTAATACAATAATAGATTGTGACTTTTCTCATTACTATTTGTGTTTTTCTTTTCCATGGTTTGCAGGAACAAAGAGTTGATGTTAACTTTTGGGGTGATTCCGCTGCTCGAGAAAATGATTTCTTCTTCTGAGTCCCAAGGTTCAGCAACCGCGCTTTATCTTAATCTTTCCTGTCTCGATGAAGCAAAGTCCGTGATAGGTTCAAGCCAAGCAGTACCTTTCCTTGTCCAACTTCTTCAGAGGGAAATCGAAACCCAATGCAAGCTCGATGCTCTTCACGCCCTCTACAACCTTTCCACATATTCCCCCAATATCCCTGCTCTCCTTTCAACTAACATCATCAAGAGCCTCCAAGGCCTTCTCACATCAACAGGTGAAAATTTGTGGACAGAGAAGTCATTAGCCGTATTGCTAAATCTAGCTTCGAGCCAGGAAGGCAAAGATGAAGCGGTATCATCACAAGGCATGATCAGCAGTCTAGCAACAGTGCTAGACATGGGTGACACGACAGAGCAGGAGCAAGCTGTTTCATGCCTTTTGATTCTATGCAATGGAAGAGAGTCTTGTATCCAAATGGTGCTACAAGAAGGTGTGATACCATCATTAGTGTCAATCTCAGTGAACGGGACACCGCGAGGCAGAGAGAAGTCTCAGAAGCTTCTAATGCTGTTTAGGGAACAACGGCAGCAACGGGATCAGCCATCTCCAAACAGAGATAAGCCCCCACAAAAGGAACCTCCCAGAAAATCTCTCTCAGCACCGATGTCTGTCCATGGATCAAATCCAGCTTCAGCTCCAGTTCCAGACTATGAACCAAGATTCTTGTCGAAATCAATGTCGAGAAGAAAGTCGTTGGCAAGACCATTCAGCTTCTTGTGGAAGAAAAGCTACTCGGTTCGCGAGTGAGAAAGAAGAAATATCACATGTACACAACCTTTGTATGTAAAGCTTTGTTTTTTCTTTCTTTGTTACAAGTTACAAAAGTCATCTCATAGAGGATATGTACAGGTCTCTTTGTGATTAGTGATTACACTCGATTTTTGCTGTTCTTTTGGTTAGCCAAAAAAGATGTATATCAAGGTAAATACAAATAAAACAAAACCCCAATTTTTAACATCAATTCACTTATTGCTATTCTTGTTTCTTATGTTTCAATGATAATTATCCAATGTTAAGAGTAAACAAATCTTCAACTTAGGTTGCTTAGAATATGATATTTACAAAAGTCAAGAATACAAGAAGTACTTGAAAGAGACCAAAACATGTAATCTATTGTGTCACCCCTCGGGTTCAAACTCGTATAACGAAAGAGATCAGGTCGAGTAGGATTCAGAACGCGAGAAGGTGAGCGAATCCGCGCTTCTACTACTTCTTTTGATGGGATTCTGAATCCATCCGGTCTCAAACAGTTCCAAAATAGGATCTCCGCGGCTGCTGCTGCTGCGACCAGTGCTTCCACCGCCATCTTCTCCACTACTTCCTCTCTGTAATGCCTCTTTGTACGACACTTTCTTCTCTGTCCCGAATTTCGTCTTCTCTTCCTCTTCTTCTTCTGAAACTGATCCTGATCTGCTAAAGCTCCTATCGACCGTGATCTCTTTCTCCTTCGTCCCTTTGTTCTTATCTCTCCAACGTCCCAAAACGTTCACCAACAAACCAAGCCAAGAAATAGCATGAACCAACAACCAATCTAGCCACGCCACTCGGTTCATCAAACTCGGAAGTTTCTTGAGAAATCCATCAAATTTCTCTGGCAGAGTCTCTACAATGATCAGCAAATCGAAGATCTTGACGAACACAAAGCTGGAAGAAGGGAAGTAAGTCTCAATCGCGTCTTGCAACGCGAGAATGTGATCGTCAGCTACAGAGAGAATCGCGAGAAAATGGCGATGAAACGGACTTGTCATCGAAACAAAGAAGATAACGAATTCGAAGAGTTTCCGCAATAGCCACGAGGCTAGATTCTTCTTCTTCTTCAGAGTCTGGCTTCTTGTGTATACAACACGAGCCATGGAGAGTATCACACCACCACAAGTCTCAAGAGGACGACGTCGTGGCCTCCTTCTCGTTGGTTGCTCCTGTCAAAATCCAAAATCAAAAAATTAACCAAACATGCCACATTATTTGTGGTTATCAAGAAGAGTAGGTACAAAGAAATTTGTGTACCATTTATGAGGAATGTAGCTGCTTCTAAATTTCGTAAATCGAGAGGAAGAGAATATTTGTTTTCTCGTCTGTAAATTTTCCCGGAAAATGATTGGGAAACTTTGAGAAAATTAGTTTGGTTTGAGGATTTTATACGTTAGTCAGAGGAAAGCGAGCGGTTAATCTTGATTTCAGCTGAGCATTTTTTCGAACGAGCGGTTACGCTTTTTTTTTTTTTTTTTCCGAGTCTTACTTGAAAACCGTATTTTAACATCAGAGAAGAATCGAAACTGGGTTGCCAAATATGGGATTTTAAAAACTGTTATTTTAACTACATGGGCCTTTGGGTATCCGATCGGTTTCGGTTTGGGTTGCATTCGATTTTAATTTTTTCGGTTCTATAGTTTAGGATCTCTTCGGATATTTTTAAATTTTGGTTCAGGTTTTAGTTTGGTTCAAATTTTTTCGGTTAAAAAATTTAGTATCTATTCAGATATTTTGTTTCTGATGTTTTTGATGTATAAAAAAAATTTCGGTTTAAAAATTTAGCATTTTTTTTAGTATTCGATGTATAAATAACTAATATTTTTGGATATATAATTGTATTTTGGGTACATGAAATATTTCAATTCAGTATATGTTCGTTTTAAGATCTATTCGGATATTTTCAAATTTTGGTTTGTTTCGATTCTAGTTTTTTTTTAAAACAAAATTTGGGAATCAAAAAGGAATCGGAATCTATGACGCATGCATGATGTAAGCAATTAGATAAATTGTACTGTGAGTCTGCGAGTGACCGATTGTCAACTCTTCTCTCCTTCAACTTCAAATTTAGTCTCTTACCATTACGACTTCACGGTAACGGAATCGTTTCTTCGTTGATCTGTTTCCCAGCGACGTGTTTGTTTCTGTAACTGGATTGGATTTGAGCGACGTGTTTGTTTCTGTAACTGGATTGGATTTGGGAGTTGAAGAAATGAAGTTGTTGCCGCGAGAGATCGAGAAGTTAGAGCTTCATCAAGCTGGTTTCCTTGCACAGAAGCGTCTTGCTCGTGGTATTAGACTCAATTACACTGAATCTGTAGCACTCATTGCTACTCAGGTACTACTCTCTACTATTCTTCAATTTTTGAATATTTCTCAATTCATAAGCTGATGGTGGTTCTCATGGATGTGTAGATTCTTGAGTTTATTCGTGATGGTGAGAAAAGCGTGGCGGAGCTAATGGATATTGGAAGACAACTATTAGGAAGGTGATATGATGAATTATATAGAAGATCAATCCACTTTGTGTCATTTGGATATCTTCACTACTATTTTACATCTTCTTGTTTTGTAAACAGGAGACAAGTTCTTCCTGCTGTTGTACATCTTCTGTATACGGTTCAGGTTCTGCTTTCATGTTACTTGTTTTGCCTTTTTTCATGGCTTGTCAAGTTATTATAACTAGTATAGGTTGTTGTAGGTCGAAGGTACATTTCGTGATGGTACAAAGTTAGTTACCGTTCATGAACCGATTTCTCTTGAAAATGGGAACCTTGAACTAGCTTTACATGGATCTTTCCTTCCAGGTTCGATCCCTGCATTTTACAGTTAGCCTTTCTAATTTTTTTGTTTAGACTGCTCATGTGAGATTGCGTTATCCTCTTATGTCGATTTGCGTGACATGTTTCTTTCCAAGGCAAAGTGTTTTCTTAAGGTTACTATCTTACATCAAGCTTTGGTGATTTAGTATGCTTTATAAGCTTAGGAGAAACCAACTTAAATCATCTTTTTCATGTGAAATAGAAGTTAGTCAAAGTAGTAATATTGTTAATGTGGTTAGATTATGATATGATTATGGCTTGGTTTGTAGTTCCTTCGTTGGATAAATTTCCAGAAGCTCATGAGGATGTAATTCCTGGAGATATGAAATATGGAGATGGAAGTATAATAATAAATCATGGAAGGAAAGCACTAGTCTTGAAAGTCGTGAACACTGGAGACAGACCAGTGCAGGTGTGTTAATTTGTCATATCTTTTGCTTCTTCTGTGTTGCAGTTTTAAAGTAAGATATCTTTTATAGATGGAGTCATGGAGATAGATTACAAATCCGTTATATTTAATTTTCCAGAGTCTCCTTTCAGGTTGGAAGTCATTACCACTTCATTGAAGTGAATCCATTGTTGGTGTTTGACAGACGTAAAGCTCTTGGTATGCGTCTGAATATAGCAGCTGGAACAGCTGTACGATTTGAGGTTCGATTTCTTTATCTCTCTTTCTCTTGTTTCATTTCTCATATTTTTGAATTGGCCTCAATTAGATAAGCTCTTCAGAATCTCATCTATCTAGATGGTGTTTGTGCTAGAATTGAAATGCAGAGAAAGCAAGATTAACATTATAACACCTGAAAAATCTTTTACAAAGGAGGTTTAAATGGCATCATCTTTAGGGATTCTTTGCTGTTGCCATTACACACTCTATTCACTTAATATCTTTTGTTATATTTATCGGCTGAAGGATGACCAGATAGTCCTGTCAGTGACAATTGTTTTTTTTTTTCGTAGCCTGGTGAAAGAAAAAGTGTTAAACTTGTGAATATTGGTGGAAATAAAGTGATAAGGGGAGGAAATGGAATTGTTGACGGTCTAGTTGATGATGTCAACTGGACAGTTGTGATGGAAATAATGGAGAGAAGAGGCTTTAGGCACCTGGAAGATGCTGATGCTAGGTTAAGTCCTAGTCATTTTGCATTTTTTATGTTCCAAGATTGAGTTTCAATATGGTCACCCTACTCCCATATTCAACTATATTAAGTTTTAACTGATCTCTTTGCAGTGAGGGGATCGTAGGGGAAGATCCTAGATTTACGACTACAATTTCGCGTGAAAAGTATGCAAATATGTATGGTCCTACCACTGGCGACAAGCTTCGCCTAGGTGATACCAACTTATATGCAAGAATCGAAAAAGATTATACTGTTTATGGAGATGAATGTGTATTTGGAGGTGGAAAAGTTTTAAGAGAAGGCATGGGTCAAGGAATAGAGCAATCTGAAGCTCTTTCCTTGGATACTGTCATTACCAATAGTGTGATAATTGATTATTCAGGAATATATAAGGCAGATATCGGCATTAAAAATGGTCATATTGTCGGTCTTGGGAAAGCAGGCAATCCGGATACCATGCATGGTGTGCAGAGCAATATGCTTATTGGGGTAATTTAAATCACAATATAAACACAGTAAATACCATTTTGGAGTACTTACTTACCTTCTCTTGTTTATTTTCTTAGAATAAGACTGAGGTTATTGCTGGAGAAGGAATGATTGTAACTGCAGGAGCTATTGATTGTCATGTGCATTTCATATGTCCTCAATTGGTCTACGAAGCAGTATCGAGCGGTGAGCAGATTAGCCTGGCTGCAGAGATTGCTTACTATGTGGCATGTTCTCTTGTATGCTCTCCCACTGTTTGCATTTAGATCATTTTCTCCAATTCATAATTATCTGCAGGTATAACAACTATGGTTGGAGGAGGGACAGGGCCTGCTTATGGTACACGTGCTACTACCTGCACCCCTTCTCCGTTCGATATGAAGTTGATGCTGCAGTCCACGGATAGCCTGCCACTAAACTTTGGGTTTACAGGAAAGGTGGGATATGTTTCTTCTTGATACTGATATGCTTGTTATCCATCGACTAGAACTCTTACGGTTAGAAAATGTATCGTTGTTAGGGAAATACAGCTAAACCCTTAGAGCTTCAACACATAGTGGAGGCTGGAGCAATGGGATTGAAGCTGCATGAGGACTGGGGAACTACTCCTGCTGCAATAGACAATTGTTTGGCAGTTGCAGAAGAATATGATATCCAGGTTTTTTCTTTTCCCTGACATCCTCTTTTAAGAAACAGGATTGATAGTTTCCCAAATGTACTCAATTGTTCTGATTTGACAGGTGAACATTCATACTGACACGTTAAATGAATCGGGTTTTGTGGAGCACACTATCAATGCATTTCGTGGGAGAACAATACATACATATCACAGGTTCATCACTCTTCATGCACCTCTCAGATGCTTGCTTCTTAGTTTTTAATGTCAGTATCTTAAATTCGTTGAACCAATTCCCCTTACGCTATGAAGTTTCAGTTGGCTGATAAAACTAAATATGTAACAACAATATCAAAGTAAATTCACTGGCTATGTTTGAAGCAAATATTGAAGTGCTATTTTTGTTTGTTAAATCCTTCTGGACAGCGAAGGTGCTGGTGGTGGACATGCGCCAGATATCATTAGAGTTTGTGGAGTAAAAAATGTACTCCCATCATCAACCAACCCAACACGGCCATATACGAAAAATACTGTGGATGAACATCTTGACATGCTGGTATGAGAATTTAATACGAGTGTACAACTGATGGTGAATAACTATACTTTTGTCTTGTTAATAACCTCATATGCAAACACAAGCAGATGGTTTGCCATCACCTTGACAAGAACATCCCAGAAGATGTAGCTTTTGCTGAATCAAGAATAAGAGCTGAAACAATAGCTGCAGAGGACATATTGCATGATATGGGAGCAATCAGCATTATCTCCTCCGACTCACAAGCAATGGGTCGCATTGGAGAGGTTCATCTCTTTAACCATAAACATTTGTGAAAATATTACTTAAAATTCTAGGTGTTCTTTATAGTAAGCTATTTTACTCTTTGCTAGATTCTGTTTAGCTGAAAGTTATGGGAGAATTTTTTACTTCTTGGTTCATAGTATTTGAATTCTTGAATCCTTTATCCTTTCTGCAGAGATGCTTACTTTGTGGCATTTATTTTTACAGGTAATAAGCAGAACTTGGCAGACTGCTGACAAGATGAAGGCTCAGAGGGGAGCCATTGATCCTAGCATGGCTGATGATGATAACTCGAGGATCAAGAGATACATTGCAAAGTACACTATCAACCCAGCTATAGCCAATGGGTTTGCAGACTTAATTGGCTCGGTTGAGGTATGCTAATCTTCTCCACACAAGTCTCATATCTAACTATACAGCTTTCTTTTCCTCTTGAAAGTTTTTAGTTCTGTGGGTCAATAGATTCGGAAACTGTGTGAAACATCGGTTCTGATGCACACATTTTCTACATTGAAAGGGCTATAGGATTCTGAATTAGCAGTAGTGGTTGTACTTTGGCTG